TATGCACAGTTCTCCAAACGTTACAATCCCCTTTATGTCACTGAATATTTTTGGTGTCAACAGTTTTATGTTCAGCTTCCATGTTCTTCTCCACCCCTCTATTCTTTCTATAGGTGATGGTCATCCAACAGAGAAGAATATCAATTTGATGTCTGTGGAGATGACTTTGAATGTTTCATACACAAACAGCAAATTTAACTTTAAGCAGACTGACCCACTTGGGTGTTTCTACATGACACTCCATCTGCAGAGACGCTGGAGATGTTGTCTAGCTTGAGTGGACATAGACAGTGGACATCTGATCCACATTTGGGCCTCATGGTGGGATTTAGAATCCTTCTCAACATCTTAATCACTATGTCCTTTCTTTCTCCTTATTATTTACTCATTGTTTTGGGGCTTTGGGGGGAGTGGGGTGGTAGAGTAGATTGTGCAATTACATTACTGAGCTGTTCAGCTCTTTTATTGGGTAAATGACTTGATCACTTTTTGAGAAGTAATGAATATATCTGTATTGAAGGTGTGTCCTGATTGGCTATTAGCTTTTCGTAGCTGCCAGCAACATTTTATACTGCAAAAGTCAAGCATTTCTGTGTTGCATATTTGCCAAATATTTTATCGCACAGGTTATCAGCATATTTACCCAGCTGGCCCATTGATATGGAACTGAATAGCAGAGATTTGCACCTACATCCGGTGAAGCCTATATGTAACTCCAATACAATGTTAAGTATCTCCTGGCTGACTGACTATGGATTGTGAATGTTGTCAGTGTCACATAAAATGCTAAAGCACATATAAGTTAAATTTAAAAATACATTTAGTTAGGAAGTAATGTTAAGGTCAATTGTTGTTCATTCATTAATGATTGATAAATTTTGATTGAAGATGCAACCAAATATTCATATTTGTTCAACTTATAATGCACGCATTTAACTGAAGGTCTAATTTGATTGACTATTTATTTGTAAACATTTGTACTTCACTGCTTGTCTGAATTGTGATATTTCCTTCGGGATCTATCGTTTGTATTCACTATTCAACAGTAAGTTCGCTCTAATCTGCAACTTGGTTTACACTAAATGGTTAATTCGACGCTTTTAGAATAGTCTGGAAGTTGCAGAGCAAGGCGTTAAGAAGGTCATTATTTGTCAGACCAGTGAGCGATATGAAATACATTGCATTGCCAGTAAGTCATAGCCAAAAGCAAGCGATAGAAAAGTTTAACCTTACCGCTCGGCCTGATGGCCAGCTTTTAGTTATAGTGGCTGCAGTTTCTCACAGTGAATTTTACAGGAAACGCTCCACATTGCACAATAAACGCATCCAGCTGTCTTGGTATTTTTAAGCTATGAAAAACATGTTCAACTAATGTAGTGGTGTAATAAGATATTTGCAGCAATTGCAGAGAAGTTAGCACCCTAATTTGTTATGAGTATCCCGTTGGGAATTTTGCTGTTCTTGTTTCAATTTGTTGGTTGGAACGGAATTTATTTGCATTCGCTCAATGTTTGTAGTTGACGGTAGGATTGCACAAGTGTCAAACTAAACGTGTCCTTCTGATTCAAGAAAACACGCAACCGTGATAAAGTTATGGCTAAATCAAACCCCCTGCAATTCTTACAACGAAGGGAAAATATGTACAATTTGGTGAGAACAGATGTATTGTTAAGGAACGAATTGCCAAAGGCATCAGTGTTATCTCGTGAGATCCGGGTGGAAGCCGGAGATATATCGGGATATGTGTGACTGTGCCGCAATATAACGCCAAACCTCACAACGCAATTCCCATGTAGGCTCTAAAAACCCGCATGGCATTCAGTTACAAGACTGATAACCCTGCTTAATCTGATAGCACGAATTCATTCTAGTTTCAATGGTACACTCAATGCGAAATGTATTCTCTTCAAATCCCACAGACAGGAATGCTTAATCTAGGAAATGATAGCCACATTGATTGGTTACACGGATTACTTCAATTATTAAACTTAACTCGCTTTTTTTTAGCACTTCGTTATTGCAGAGAGATCTTTCCGAGCGCTGGACTGCAATAAGTAAAACGTTAGGACTAGGAAGGAGGAGGAATGGGGCGAAAGTTGAAGAGACTAAACTTGCAACTTACGGAATTAAAGGTTTGAAAGTTTAAATGTAATTATTCTTTAAAATGTAATCCCCAAACCCGGGAATGTATTTTTGAGTTTTAAAATCTGAAATATTGAAACATTTCTTGCTTAAAAATGTCTGATACCATCTCATTCAATTCAAACAAGCTTGTGTGCAATAAAATCGTTTTCATTTCAAAACAATTCAGTTCTAGACAATTATTTTAAAAATATGTACGGTTTTAAACGTTTTAATTTCTATATTAAACCCCTAGACCCTCCATGCGTGGATTCATATGAATGGATTCTAAAAAGCATGTTCCCTTTCTATTAGTGTGTCTTATTTATTGGGAAACTCTGACAACCTCCTATCGATTTTGTTATATTCTGAAATAATTAAATAGGAAGTACCTTGAGAACGCTCCTCTGTGGCTTCCATAGAAAATCTGCTGCAGAAATGAAAGCCAACTAGAAAGAGACCAGAGTAATCCATAACATTTACAGATCAGAAAAAAACTATTTTTTTATTGTGTTAATCATAATCTTCATGTTTTGTCAAATAGTAACGTTTAGATTAAAGATCAGACTGGGCCAAAATAACATTTGTGGATGTGTACATAACCGCGGATTTGGAAGTCAGCATTGCTGAAGATGTAATTTCCAGCACCAGTGACAGCTCCTGCAGGTTTTCTTGCACTTCTGAACCACATGTGGCACTGTCACCGTACTGTACTTGGAGAAACAGTCCACAGCATCTATGAACTACTGCAGTTTTGATCCCCACAACATAAAAATGCCTGGTGAGAAAAAAAAGTCTTGATTTTATATTATTATGATTTGCGTTTTCAGCCGCAGTTTTCAGGAACATTTTACAATGAAAACCAAGATTTTTTTTGGGGGGGGGGGAAGGATTTTTACGCGTTAACATTAATTGCCCTGATACCAATATTAACTACATGGTCCTGCGTAACTCACATAACAGATTTGATTATAAGACGGAAAGTAGTACTTGCATATCAACATTTATACTTCAATACATTCTGCCTACTAACCTGTTTGCAGCCATTCAGACATCGAGTCATTACTTATCCACCTTTCACTAAATGGTACACAACCTGTTTGGTCATGAAATATGCAGCGTTTTTTCCGGGTAAAACATATTCCGGTAGTGAGATACCAAATGCATAAATTAATCATACGTGCAATAAAAAAAGGCAAAATACAGAAAGTACAAATCTGAAAATTTCAGTTGTCATGCGACGCAAGAGCTTATTCGAATAAGGAGAACAATCTGCTTTTTTTTAAAATTCAAATCGATTTTATTTCCTTGCGCTGATCTGCGTTAACCTCTCGCCTAAAATTCGAGCTCTTGTCACTAAATAGAATAGTTGCAGTAGCGCCGCACAGGTATTGCCAAGCTCGGCCGTATATTCCTGCTTCCATTCAACAGTTCAATAAGAACACACAAGTCAAAAAGTTCGGCATATCTTACTTAGTGCAGAAAAATAATGATACTCTGTGCTTATCTTTTGTATTGACTGCGGCAATGAACGTATGTGTGCCATTTCCAAAATTAAAGCCAACATTTATTTCAACTTCCTCATGTTAATACAATTCCACTCTTTCCTCTCCTTCCTCCTTCCACACCACCCCCTCTAGTTGTTATTTTGTTCTTTTTTGCTCAGTTTATTCAATATTTCCCCTTAACGTTTTACCTTGTGCTCGTTCAATTGACGCCTTTAGTGAGAATGTTTACTGCTGTCAGGATTGCTTTCGTCCCCCACACCCTTCACCCCCTCCACTGCTTGAACAAAGCCCCAAGCAATCAAAACAAACATCGAATCTCCCTGAAAAATAATCCACAAATTGATCGAAACCAAACGAGTTTATTGGAAGAGGGAGACGTTCACTTCACACATCAGAGGGGAACAGGGTGAATAATTCATAAAAATACGCGTTAATCGATCCAGCTTTTCATTGCATATGTCAAATCATTCACGCCATACTTCCTTAAGATCAGGAAGTATGTTAATGCATTAGTAAGACACTTGGACAAGTTTGCACACGGTTACACTTTAATACTTCGCCAGTGACCCTTTCCGAACTTGTTCACGGGCATCACTACACACTCCCAAATCCTTTGTGACTGCCGTTTGTTACATACGTCAAAATATGACGCATAAAAAAATAAATTCACTGCAATAGTATGAATAAATATCGTCTGGATCAAATTAATTCAATTAGAACGGTGGATGCGTTTTCAAACCGTAATTTTCTAAAATGTCTCTTCCATATAAATCATATTTACGACGTGTATTAAAAGGTAGACATTTCTTTGAACGATCAATGTGCACAGTAGAAGGAAGCTTTCCCCTTTTGCTGAAAACTGGCAATGCTGCACCGGCACGAACAACAGAAAATAAATCGATAACACTTAAAATGTTTCTGTGTCTCCAGAGTTTGTGCGTGGCTCGCTGTGTACAGTACTGTGGATCCTTCAGTACTCACATGTCGCCTAAATGGTTACCCGGCCCTATCTTCCATCTTAGGGCCATTGAAATAAACTGACCAGATAATCTGCCAGACGGTCCACTTGTAAAAACACTGTCGTGTTTGTGAAACTAAGTAAAAGTATTTACAAATTATCATGTTAAATGAAAAGTGTACGCGAGAAGTAACGAAGGGCCCATATGGTGTATATTACCCTTTCGAGGGGTTGTTACTAATATATAATTTACTCACTTGCATAGTTTTTCGATTATTGCTTCTCTGCCATAATGTAACATTCGAATATGAGTGCAGTCGTGCTGTTAAAAACAATTTTGTATCAATTATTTAATGTACCACCCACTGCTTTATCTTAATTACTTGTGATCTGTAGAGCCACTATTTTTCTCATTAATTATGAAAAACCGCATTTAATTCGTCCTGCATTGAAAGTGTCTCGTTGCGCAGATGGAAATCGTAAGGAAATGTACTGTCTGTGGGCACCACACATCGCATGGCTGGGCTGAACATGTAGCTCTGTCCAAGGGGACGGCTGGCTGGCACAGCAGAATAATGCATGCCATAGTGATAATTTTTCACATAGTCAGATGGATCTTCTTGCTTCAGGGAGAAAATCCCATTAAAGTTAATTGGAGGACTGAGGGGACCGTCAAACTGCGGGCTCACACACTCGGGAGAAGCGTTCTGGTAGAAGGACTCATAAGCACCACAGTAGCTGTAAGGTTTGATGGACTTCGAGGAGCCGTCCATTGGGCTCTGTACTGAGGGGCTGCCGAGATCAGGGGTTTGATAGGTGTAGAGGGTGGAGGAAAACTGTGACCTGGCGATATGTGCTCCATCTCCGTTCTGATCCATCAGTAAGTTTCTCGTGTTGAGTTGCAGGCATCCAGCTACCAGGTTGGTGGTGGGCTGGGACAAGTCTTTACACAGGTTTTGGACAAACGTCAGCAGGTCAGGTCTCTTACCAATGCGCAGGATCTCCGACAGAGCCCAGATGTAGTTCTTAGCGAGGCGCAGTGTTTCTATCTTGGACAGTTTCTGTGTTTTGGAATAACATGGGACAACTTTGCGAAGGTTATCCAGCGCGTTGTTGAGACCGTGCATCCGCTTTCTCTCCCTGGCATTGGCCTCAGTCCTCCTCAGTTTGACTCGCTCAATCCTTTCTTTCGTCATCACCTTTTTCCTGGGTCCTCTCCTTTTGGGGTGTTCTTCATCCTCTTCGCCTTCCTTGCCATTCTCGTCTCTCTCTGACTCTACCGACGGGGTGATGTTGTTGAGATCAATTGAACATTGCTCATGCTCCGCACAAGTTTGTGACTCTTTATCCTCGGATTCGCTAACATCATCAAAGTTTGTTCCGGGCATCATGACAACTTCATCAATTGGTAAAGTCAACATGTTGTCAGCTTAGGAGGAGAAGGGGAAAGAGAGAAAGAAATGGTTATCGGCACGGCTTTCTAGCTAAAGAGTGCAATAAAATAAATTTATGTTTGCACCACTCAGACCCTCTTGTTGAAGATCAAAAAATCTGCGCAGGTCTTTTAAAAATTAACCCCAAATATTCATAACGGGGAAAATGATATATCGTAGGCTTTAGTGCTGTTGCACAGAACCATCTCACTGTTGTCTTTGCGCGAGCAGTTTCTCAAATGTTTTAAACTCGGTAAAAGGGTGTTTTATTTTACAATGCTGCATGTACTTCTGTTTTTTTTCTGGCTAATCTTAAAACGAACATGTAAAAACCGTGCAATTGACAGCTTTAAGAAAACAGGACGGTTCCAGTGTTTTGATTTGAATCCCTTGGGTCTCAAACTTCCCATGGATCGTAATTAAAATTACAGGATCGCTTACAATGCTACATCCAGCTCCAGAGACACGATAGTCACTACTGGAAGTGGCTGGCTGTGTGTTTTACCAGTACAACATCGTCCATCCTAAATCGACAGGATTTTGCATATTTTGCTCGGAACATTTAAGATATATTTTAAGTGCAAAATGGCAATATAAAGCCCATTGCATTGGATGCCAGTGACAATCTATTTCGTTTCACAAGCATTAACAATAGAATGGATTTGGCACTCAGCCGGAAAGTTAGAAGACTGATCAAGAAAATAATTGAAAATAATTTCCTTTATTGTGAAATATTAAACCCTGCACTTGATTTAGAAAAAGAAAGTGTTTCGTTTGCTACATAGCACCAACCCCGGCACTAGTTATGCAGTGCAATAAATCATTTGACAGATGGAGGGTCATAGGGTTTTCTTCCTATTCTGAAATATTGCAATTTGCACTTACATTTTCTCCATTCACTTCAAAGTTAGACTGTTACACTTGGAAGGTTTTTTTTTTCCAACAGAGCAACGCCCTACATGTTAGAAGATTTTTTTTGTCTCCCTCACTTCGAAAACTAGTTTTAAATTCGAGTACTAATGTTGGACCATTCTTAAAGGATGCGCCCAGGTGTCGGATTGCTTAAAACAGCAGCCCTATTCAACACCTAAAGGAGCACTTGTTAAAACCCTAGTCCGTACAGAAATGCTGGCTGTTCACACGAAAGTCCTGTTTAAATAAAATCTATGAATGGAATGACAAAGCATTTTATAATGACGAAGTCGTTGGTGGCAAAGGGATGGGGAAGGAGACAGGTAATGTTTGAATTGCAAAGTCAACACACCAGTCCTTAAATATGCGAAATCAGGATGTTTGCACACTAAGGCAAGGCAATTAAAAAAGAAACAAAATAAACGACGTCGGGTTGCAATGCAGCGATGGTCCGATCGTTCCCCTCGATTTTATTTGTTATTGTTATTGTTGTTGCTGCTGAATTGAATTCTTACCTGAAATCAGTGCTGGGGAGGGATGCTCATTTTCAGCTCGTCCTGGGCACTGGTCCGTAGTCTGACGGCAGTGTTAGGGTCTCTCTCTCTGTCTCTCTCTGTCTCTCTCTCTGCAGGATCGGTGCGTGATCGCTCTGAGAAGTGACAGCGATGCCCACTGCCAGCGCTGGTACCATGCCATCTGCTGCTGACGTCAGCGGGCAGCCGCCGCTGATTGGCAGGTGCAGACGCTGGCATCTTGCGCCCCGAGGGAGGCTGGAGCTGGGGGTGGGGGTGGTGTGTGTATGTGTGGGGGGGGGGGGGGGGGGGGGGGGGCGGTGGTGTTGGTTTGGTGCAGCCCGTACACTTCAAATAATATCACCGTCTCCATTGGGCCAGCCGAGCTGTCAGACAGGAGGCCGGCAGGATCAGCTAGCCGCTCCCAACAAGAGGCAAGGCAATGACACACGTCCCATCTTACACCTTATTAAACCCTGTTCCCACATGTCAGCGCCAATCAGGCGCAGAAGTGCGCCGTGCGCTACTACTCCGGATGCTACGCGCAGCGAAGTCTGCCAGATTGCAATCCCTTCAGTTGGGGACTTTGCACATGGGGTCTGGTTAAAAAACAAAAAGCAGAGCGGTTTCTTCCCCCCTTCCCCCTTCGCCGCCCACCACCGCCTCCCCCACCCCCCCATACTCCCTCCCTCCCAACACCACCCCCTTCCGTGTTGACACGTTTTGTGGTTACATGCAGAAGGCCCATGTCAGATGTGAACAAAAGATGGCATCAAAATGCATTTCATTCAGAAGTACGTGCCACTCGAACGTTGCAAAAGTGCCAGTGGCCTCAATAAATTGGCAACAGCCAAAACGCCGTCGTGCGCATCAAATGTCAATGCCAACCCATTGACTACCTGCGACAGTGTTTGTGTATATTTTACCAAATATTAATCACATCACCTGCTATCAAACGAGGTGGAGACATGCTTATTTATCGTTGAATCGGTTGCCCGGAAGAATTCAGCATGGTGAATTCATGAGTCCAAAAATGGTTTTTAATAGTCTACTACTCCCATTGTACCGACTAGTCAAGACAACAGGGCCCTGGTTGTCATTATTATTACAATACAGATCAGAAACCGGTCTAACACATGCCACCGTCTGATTTCAATGGAACATACGTTCGCTGCTTTTCAGCCTTCTGAGGTTACTACTGCTGTCCAAGCGGTGCAGCAGATCACTGCACTAACCCAAGCTTTTTTCTCCACATAATCAGTCATTTTTCAGCTAGTGTATTTCATTCACATTTGCCTTGGAAGATGAAGCCAAAATATAAGGAACTGCTTTTGCAATGTGTATTTTTTATTGAATGTTATTATGTAATTAATCATTTACACCTAACATGGTATCCTTTCTATCATTTCCCAACACTAAGCTGTTTGTAGTTACGTTTGTGTTAACTTTGTTTAGCTGAAAGATAACTGGTTAGAATAAATGCATTATAATAGTATTTTATGCGGTACTCCAATGCGACAAGATAAACGTTTCAATTACATTGACAGGCTTGGCATTTTTCAGTGTCAAGGCCTGTGTCTGACTGTGGTGCACATTAAGAGACAACAGGCCCACGAAACTTTGCAGTCAGATTCAGTGATATCTCTTCCGGTGGACACTACTGGAGTACATTGTTCGGTCTGGCCAGTGGTTGAACTGCAATCTTTGACTGAAGGTTTCAATAGTATAAACCTTCTGTTCTTATAGTTGGATATCTGAAGTTAAACACAGGAGCAGTGCAGATCAAAGAGGTGCTGAGGAATTTTAGGTCGTGTTTCGAATTATTTTGTTGACAAGAAGAGAATAGACAATGTACTTAATTTCACTACATCGGTGATTATTGTACTCGTATCAATTCTTTGATTCGAACTACGGTAATTCTTTGACAGATTATTCTGAGCCATGTGGGGAGGGATTGAAAACATTCAGTGTGGATGTAAATACAAGGCCGATTTTGGTTCTTAGCGAGAGCATACAGGAGGAACACAAATCGGTTTTTGTTTTGTATTATCTGCAATCTCCCAACGTTAATTTTTGCTACGCTATGTTGAAACTGCATAAAGCATTAGGAAATCCTGACAAGAAGTACAGAGTTCAGTAAAGAACAAGACCGGTACAAATTAATTTCCTTATTAGCCTGGTTTTTCTTATTCGACACTGTGCGGCATTTTACTTCAAGCGTGCTGTGCTGCCAGCTTGCACTAGCCACTGGCAATATCTACTGAGACATGGGCATTCGAGGTTGTGTTAATGCTTAAAAAAAACTTGCTCTGCGCGCTTTCATGTCGCTTGTTTAACTCAAATGGACAAATATCGTGAATTTTAGGGACTGGAAATAAACGCTGGCCAGCCACATGCTCGGGATGGTAATCTGACCAGTGAAACGACATTTAACAAATCAGATGATTCCCAACGCACAAAAACAAAACAAGAAGGAAATCTGTGTCACGTTTTTCAAACAATCTGTCGGATTGTACAGTGGCTGGAATTAAAATAATAAAATGACAATGGCATCTCACGATCGATGCTGGCATTTAACCGTGTGTTGCTAGTCCAGGTGATACAGACCTTTGGGACATGGCTCCAGAATGCCAGGTGTTCCGGAATGAATGATAAAGTATTTCCCATACACATATTTCACAAATAAATCCCTTATTCCATCAAATATTTTTACAACAAAATATTATTTTGCTTTCGTTTATGATGTGGCAACATGAAGGATGAATCACAATTTAAAAAAGAGACTTGCCAGTTTCCCGGAAAGCTATATAATTCTCACAGGGCTATACAATTCATGAGTCCAATTTGTTTTCTAAATTCAATCGAATGCTTAAATTATAGGTGAGCGAAGATGTTGCCAGTTTGTTGTCAATTGGTACCAATACCCACATTCTCATTGGCGCCAAACTGGTTCAGTCTGACGTGTTTTAAAGACATTCCCCCCAGCCCCCTGTTCCTCCAAAGTTCAAGCACATCACAAGGAAGCCAGTTCCCAGTGGGCAGGAGTGTGCTGCTGGAAATCACTGATGGCGTTCATGTAGTCAAGGGTGAACCATGCCATTGGTAGCCACGCAACTGGAATCTTCGCACTGTGACTAACCAAAGGCATTTTGTCTTATCAAGTTCCTCGCCGATGCTTAGAGCGAGATTGTCGGTGCAGAATCGGAAATATAACAAACTATTGCGCTACTGTACTGAAGGAGATGGAAAGGCAGAGTCATAACTGTAGCGTCTATTTCGAACATTCTATCGTTTCTGCTCGAGGTTGAGAGGCCACTGAGAAAGCTGTGATTCGCCTTTGGACAATCCTGACTTTGTTCCTCAGGGATAAATAACAGCGCTATGTCAATTCCAGTAGAACACAAGGCTGCTCAGTCTTCGTGACCTGTTTAGTCACAGAAAGAAAAACACTGACTTATTCTGAAAGTCTCAAGGTGACAGTGGTACAATACTGGGGACCTCTCTTGTCTCCGGTTGTACAGTGTTGTCCTTGACCAATGAGGAATTGTATAAGGTGAGCGCTTC